AACCTGTGCCTGGGGTGGTTTCCAATAGGGCTTGACCAAAGGGGCTGTCCTTGCCATTTGCTTGGTTAATAGCTAACTCAGGCCACCTGAGAATTAGCATATAGGTGGAGACCCTTAGATTGGTCATTAACTAACCACCAGACTAAACGGAGAGTAAGCCTGTATCTAGAATATGGTGCACTCCTGGGAGATGATACTCTGCCACACAGTGTACTGTCACAGCATCTGGGGAGAATAGGGTTCCCCGGCCATAATGCTTGGGAAAGCATGAGACCAAGTGACACAGGCTTCCTCCCAGTAGGACTTCTCAGGCTTTCACTGGTCATGAACACCAAGAAGGCCCAGGAGGGAAACACTGTATGCAGAAGAAAAAAAGCAGAGGCGGCTGCTCTCAGTACATATGGTCCAAACGCACAGCTAGTCAGCCAGAGTCAAGACTATGGATTCTGTAAGGAAAGGGATAGACAATTAAACAAAAGGAGTCGAGATGTGTCTTGAAGGGATTCTTCTGGATAAAAAAGAGGGAGTGTTTTGTTCTCCAAAACTGGAAATAACCAGGTGATTGGACCCTCAATTCTTGAATTTCACAGTCGCTATGAGTTGGATCCGACTCGATAGCAGTTGAGTTTTGTTTTTTTGTTTTTTTTTGCTGAATTTAAGGTTCTAATTTTTGGAGGTGCAATGATGGCCATTAAAAATTAAACCACAACCGTGTCCACATTCCCATGCTCAGATTAAAGCCTGCCTGAGATCTGGTTGTTGTTGTTGTTGTTATGTGCCGTCGAGTCGGCCCCGACTCATAGCGACCCCTCCTTGGGTTTCCGAGGCAGTATCACTACGGAAGTAGGATTGCCCAACCTTCCTTCCGAGGAGTGGTTGGTGGGTTTGAACCGCCAGCCGTCTGGTTAGCAGGCAAGTGTCTTAGCCACTATGCTACCAGATCTGGTGGTGGAGTGGTTAAGGTATTTGGCTGCTAAGTAAAACGTACGTGGTTCGAACGCAGCACCCGCTCCACGTAAGAAAGACGAGGCAGTCTGCTTCCATAAAGATATACAGCCTGAGAAGCCCAATGGGGGTCACTATGAGTTGGAATTGACTCAATGGCAGTGACTTTGGTTTTTTTGGTGGCTGTCTTGCCACTCATCCAATCACCCAGGCTCTGGTGACATAAACTTCTACTATAGGTTCATACAAGACCACATGAGACAGTACAAGGAAATGGAAAGTCACCATCAGGAGATAGGAAGGGCTTCAAGTTCAGCCAGACTGTAGAAACAACCTGAATGACCATCACCAAAATGTGGTACACACCTTCCAAAGAATATTACTCAGTCACAGAGAAGTGAATTCCTGATGCACGCTACGATACGAACGAACTTTGAAAACATCATGCTGAGCAATGTAAGTCCAGACACTAAGGACAAATTATTTATGATCCCACTTATATGAAAGCAGCTCTGGTGGCATAGTGGTTAAAGCATTCGGCTGCAAACCCAAAGACCTGTGGTTCAAACCCACCAGCCAGTCCACAGGAAAAGATGAGGCAGTGTGCTTCCATAAAGATTTAGAGCCTCCGAAACCCTATGGGCATACTTTGTCCTATAGGGTCACAATGAGTCCGAATCAACTTGATGGCACTGGGAGTGGGATCACTTCATACCTAGAATAGGCAAAGGCAGAGAGATCAAAGTTCATAGTGGTTCCCAGGGATGGGAGGGAGGAGGAAAGAGGGAGTTATGCTTAGGGGGCATTTTCTGTTAAGGGTGATGGAAAAATTTGGAAATTAATAGCTTGTACAACACAATGAATGTAAGTAACATCACTGAATTTTACATGTAAAATCCATTGTAATGGCAGGTATGTGTGTGTGTGTGTGAGTGAGTGAGTGAGTGAGGGAGAGAGAGAGAGAGAAGCACAATAAAAAAAAAAGAAAGAAAGAAAGAAAGCAAACACAAGGGGCAGGTCAATAGTGCCCTCCCCCGGGAGCCTTTTTCTAGAGCGGCAGCACTGTCCAACAGCTACTTCCACAGTGAAGAAAATGTTCTAGATCCGTGCTGTCCTACACAGCAGCCGCCTGCTGCTGAGCTCGTCAAATGTGGCTAGTGCAAGCAAGAAACAGATTGCTTTTATTTTCCTAAATCTTAACTAATTTAAATGTAAATAGGTAAGTGGCTATCATACGGTTCTAGAACATTTACAAAGAAGCAGAAGTGATGCATACCTGCCTTTTTGGTGGAGACCAAAAAAGCTGTGAAGAGGGAGGTTGAGGGGGGAATCTGTTTCATCCATAAACCCACTTAATAGAGTTGAGTGTATCCTTTTTCAAACTTGAC